CGTACCCGGCCCAGTCCATTTTTGGTATCTTCACCTGCCCCCCATATCTCTCCCTAATTAATTGGGGTGAGATTATTGAAGAGACTTTATAATGACATGACTGCTTGAAACAATGACGTGAGGAAGCGAACGGTTGGTTCAGAGACCCATGTTTCAAAATTTGAAATATCATCATTGCCATGACTCTTTGGTTATTGAGTCACTTCCTCTTTAAAACCCCTAACTTCCCATCTTTTGCCTTTCTTCTATCTTTCCCATCTATATCTTCGAGCCTCATTTGCTTTGATCGTTTCCGTCAATAACCAGGTCTTCTCCGGTGAGTTCTCCTTTTGTGATTCTTTATCTTTCACTTTGCTGCAGTGTACTCTGTAGATCTTCTTTCTAAGGTTAGTCCTAATCCCCTGTTACTTTTCAAGGATTTTTCTCTTTACTACTTTTTTGTAGAAAAAAAAAAAAAAAAAAAAAAAAAAAAAAAAAAAAAACCTAAATCCAAGAGTTTCCTCCACCATTGCAATGGTTACTAACTTAGAAACTATTTGTTTGAAGTACGAAATACCCAACGATGTTTCCATTAAGTTCTATCCCGAGGGTTTAGATGAGAGAACTGGTGAGGGTCTTCTTCCCAGAGAGATCCTCTTCTCCCTTCTTCAATTAAACGTAATCAAATTCTCTTTGCATCCGTTCTTCTGTTATATCTTTAATAAATTAGGGATTTCCCCTCTTCAAGTTAATCCCAATTTTCTTAAGGTTATATCAGTTCTTTTGATCTTAAATCATGATATAAATCTAGATCTTGACATCCTAGACCTTCTTCTTTGCTATTGAGTTACCAAAATCAAAACCAGTGATATGTACTTTAACTTCTTTCCCCTCGAAAAATGATCCATATGCACGGATAAACTCGCCTCCGAAAAAGGTGGGAGAAATAATTTAATTGGAATCAGTAAGGCTTGGCAGACTCCAATCACTTGGATTTTCCCTATCCCGACCACTTTTGGGGAGTGTTCTGTCCCATTATACAAAAAATATAAGAAACATAAGAACAACTGCCCCTGTAAAATTTGTCTTCGTCGTTTCTGCACTTTCCTTTGCTGTTGCCTTGGCATTCCTCATGCTGAATTGGTTTTCAGCGTTTGCAGGGCTAGACTTTATTTTCTGAAGGAGAAAGTATTGAACGTTATTCCTTCTACTTCCGATCTGCTCCCAGAAAATCTTTTTGACATATCAATCCTAGGTGTTACCATGGAACAAATACAGATTCCTTCCTTCAACATGAGGAGGAACCCTTCTGCAGCTATTCCTGCGGCTACCCCCAGCTGCTCCTGCGGCCATTCCAACCGCTCCGGTTGTTTCCAAGAACCCTAACCAGCCTACTCCCGAACCTCTCACATCCACTTCAACCGAGGTTTCACCCACCATGCCGAACGATAATCCTTCTGAGGTTTCAATCGAGGTTTCTCCACCTACTGCTTTAAACACTAAGGGATCTACTCCTGTTTGAACAGATACTTCGGAAAAAAGCCTGGGCAAAAGACCCCAGCCTGAGGGTGGGTTCAATCAGGATGACCTTCCTTTGTCTCGAAGGGTTAGGACCTGCAGGGTTACCACTATTCTCCCTTCATCACAGGTATCCAATCTGGGAGATGATGCAACTAGAACTTCTGCCTCCTCCCTAGTAGTGGTTCTATGGTGGCCCATACTCAAATAGGAAAATGGGTCAATTGTAGCTCTGTGTTCCAGGATGGTGACACTTCATTTGCCTTTTACAAGAACATTTGGACCCCACAGGACCTAAAAACCCAGAAAGAAATGTCTTTTAATGAAATGTTCAACTGTTTTCCCTCGGCTGCTATTGAGGTAACTATTTTCTACCTTTTTACAAACTTTCATTTTTTCCTCGTTCAGACCCTTTCATACTCGTACTGAATGTATCAGAACGCTTATGTCCTTATACAGACTCTATTCGAGATGATCACCCTCCAGAGGAATCTTGAGTTGTCAAACAAGAAAGTTAAAGCCCTCTCCCTTAGACTTGACAGATTTGTCAAGGGTATAGCATTAGTAGAAGCCAAAAACACAGAACTGTTGGTCAAGCTAGCTGAATTAGAGAGAGAAATAGATGCTCTGAAGGCTGAAAAAGATGCTCTGAAGAACTAGCGGGACTCTCTTCATGATGAGATGGACATCTTGAAGACGGAAAGAAATGTTATGCAAACTGAGAGAGATGCGCTGAAGGTTGAGAAGGGGAACCTCTAGCGCTCTTTAATCTCTGAGCAGCTAACCCGTTCTGTTTTTGAAGAGAAATCTTCAAATGAGCGTACCCCTCTGTTATAGGCAGAGTTGATAGTGGTATGAAGGCTCTTCATGCTCGTTTTTCTTAGATTGGGGCTCTCAGATACGCTGAGGGGTACAGAGATGGTTTTATTGATCGTTCTCCACCTGAAGGTCAAACGAGCTCCTATGCTGGTCCAGATAATGTTGACGACATTTTAAAGATTGACCTACTGAACGTTTACACCGATCCACTTCCTGACCCTGCCGAACGTATATTCATTTAGTGCAATGAGATTGCAACCTCTGGGGCTATCCCATCTGTTCGCCTTCTAAGTATCTCTCCTATCACTACTGTTGTTCCTCCTGTCGTTGTAACCAGTGATAGAGTTCTACCAACTGAGGAGGTCATTCATGTTGACTCTTCATCCAGAGGCGAGGAAATGATCAATGATGGTGAAAGAGACAATAGACCAGCCAGAGATGATGATGCAGCCAATGATGGTGGAATGGGCAATGGATCGACCACGGAGAAGAGATGATAGATTAGAGTTTCGCTGACCTTTGTACTTGTTTCATTTCATTCTGATATCACTTTTTGTATACCCAGAATTATTTTGTAATAATGAATGGAATGATAATTTAATCTTGCCAAATGTTCTTATTTCGGCTTGTATTTGAACGAAATGATAATTTAATTTTGCCCAGTGTTTGGCATTCGGCTCATAGTGCCACCTGCCACTTACTTGATTAAGTGTTTGGCGTTCGGCTAGAATGCCATTTGCAACTCGACTTTTTATTTGGTGCAAGTTTTTGGCGTTCGGCTCGTAATGCTATTTGCCACTTACTTGGTTAAGTGCTTGGCGCTCGACCAGAATGCCACTTGCCACTTGACTTTTCATCTTATGTAAGTTTTTGGCGTTTGGCTTATAGTGCCATTTGTCACTTACTTGATTAAGTGTTTGGCGCTCGGCTAAAATGCCACTTGCCACGTGACTTTTCATTTGATGCAAGTTTTTGGTGTTCGGCTCATAGTGTCATTTGCCACTTACTTGATTAAGTTTTTGGCGTTTAGCTTATAATGTCATTTGCCACTTACTTGATTAAGTACTTGTTACTCGACTAAAATGCCACTTGCCACTCGACTTTTCATTTGGTGCAAGTTTTTGGCGTTCGGCTCATAGTGCCATTTGCCACTTACTTGGTTAAATGTTTTCTGCTCAACCAATTTTTGAAACAAAATGAATTCTTTCTATAAATCTTGATGGATCGATACATTCATATGAGCACAATTTTAAATGAACATTTTTCATAATGGAATTTAATCTTACAATCTTATTCTATTGGTAGTACCTTTTTAGAGACGTGTCATTCTATGGTTTATTAACCACTTCCAGCAATGGTCTCTAGATTGTATACCCCCTTTCTTATGGCCACTACAACTCTGTATGGCCTTTCCTAGGGTGACATCATCTTTTTGACGATTCCTACCTTCTTTTTCAGAACTAAGTCACCGGGTGCAAAATCTCTATGCGAGACCTTTTTGTTGTGACTATTCATAAGTGTTTACTGATAAGAAGCGAGTCTAATTGCTGCTGCATCTCTTTTTTCTTCTAGCAAATCAAGGTTAAATTTCAACATATTGTCATTCTGCTCTTGATCCAATGCCAAACTTTGAACAATTGGAACTAAATGCTCAACCGGTATTACTGCCTCAATGCCATATGCATAGCGAATGGGCTCTCACCAGTTAGTTATCTAGGGGTTGTTTTATAAGCCCACAAGACGTTCGAAAGCTCGTCCAACCATTTACCCTTCTTTTCCTCAAGCTTTTTCTTTATACAAGCAAAGATAGTTCTGTTTGTGATTTCGGCTTGACCGTTCGCTTGCGGATGGCTAACTACTACCAATTTTTTTTTAATTCCATACTCTTATAGCAGGTTCCTTACTTACGTACTGTCCAGATTGATTCCATTATCCATAACGATCGATCTCGGCACACCAAAACGATAAATGATATTGCTCTAGATGAAACATCTTACTTGAGTTTAGGTCACACTAGGATACGGCTCGGCTTCTAGCCATTTGGTAAAATAATCTGTTGCAAGTAGAACGTATTTGTTTTGTGATCTCGCTTTTGGCAAAGGGCTAACCACGTCCATCCCCCATTGCGCGAAAGGCCATGGTTTGGCTATTGCGTGCAAATTTTCAGATGGTTGGTGGATCAGTGGTCTGAACCTTTGGTACTTATCGCATCTTCTAGAGAATTCTTCTACATCCCATGACATGTTCGGCCAAAAATATCCTTGCGTCATTGTATTGTGCACTAGAGATCTTCCTCCTGAGTGGTTGCCACATACACCCTCATAGATAGCCCGCAGAATCTGCCCAACCTCTAAGGGGGCAACACATTTCAAATATGGACCCGAAAAATATCTCATATACAATTGATTATGGATAATGGTATATTTTGTAGCATTTGATTTGATTTTCCTTGCCTCATCTTTTTGTTCGGGCAACACATCATCTCGTATGAAAATCATGATTGGATCAATCCAGCTTGGCACATACGGTATGACGTTTACTTGCCGAGGATCCGAGCCGAGTGGTTCCTCAAAGATGGAGGGTTGACACAACACATCAACTGGAATCACCCTTCCCAATGACAGTCCAGAACTCGACACACTGCAAGCTAGCCAATCAGTATCCTCATTATATTCTCTTGACAGTTAGGTGAACTTAATTTGATCAAAGTTTTTTGCTTCATGCATAATGGCAGAACGATATGCCTCTATTGTCTCATCTTTGGTACCATACTCCCCAGTCACCTGCCTAATAAGTAGATGCGAATCACTAAAAGCAACTAAACTCTTGACCTTTAGTTCTTTGGCTAGTCTCGGTCCTGCCAGCAATGCTTCATACTCTGCTTCATTATTAGTTGCTCTGAACTCAAGTCTGATTGCTCGATGGAGCGTGGCACCTTCTGGGGTCTGCAGTTTAATCCCTACTCTTGGCCCTATTTGGTTTGAAGAACCATCAACGAAAAGTTTCTACGATGCACTCTCGAGGACTTCTTCTACGTCTTCTGTATCGCATTCAAGTAGGAAATCAGCCACCACTTGTCCTTTTATGGCCGTTCAGGGTTCATACGTTAAACCAAACGAGCTCAGCTCAATGGACTAGTCATTCTTCCTGACAGATCTGGCTTATGCAAGATAATCCTTATAGGAAATGTGGTAAGAACGATCATAGGATGGGATTCAAAATAGTATCTGAGCTTCCTCTTTGCATACACCAATGATAAGATCACCCGTTCGGCCTTTGAGTACCTTCTCTCCGGTTCAGCCATTGTTTTGCTAACATAGAATACTGGGAACTGTTTTCCCTCTTCACTTCGTACCAGAATAGCACTTGTGGCAATGCTCGATACGCCAAAATATATGGAAAGGTTCTCACCTGGTTTTAGGGCAGATAAGATTGGAGGGTTCTGCATATACTCTTTCAACCTGGTCAGTGCCAGTCGTTGCTCATCCCCCCAGGCTTGCCTCCGTGGCCTCTTATTATGTCGAAGAACGGTTTGCAGCAATCTGATAGCTTAGAAATGAATTGACTTAGTGTTGTTATTCGTCCGATGAGCGTCTGAACCTCCTTAATTGTTCTCAGTTATGCATTTTTTATCAGAGTTTCGGCTTAGGCTGGGCTAACTTCAATCCCTCTGCTATTAACCACATGCCCCAGGAACGAGCATTTGGTTGGGTTAAGCTTCATGCCGTACTTCCTCAACACCTCAAACATATCTTGCAAGTGTTGCAAATACTGGTCCTTCTTTCTACTTTTTACTACCATCTCATCAATATAGGCTTCTACAGTTTTACCCATTTGACTTTTGAAAATCTTGCTAACCAACCTTTGGTAAGTGGCTCCAGCATTTGTCAATCCATACGGCATAACCTTGTAACAATAGATCCCTCGTTCAGTGACAAAAGATGTTTTTTCTTCATCGTTTAGATTCATAGGAATTTGATTATAACTTGAGTAAGCATCCAGAAAAGTTAACCGTTCATACCCAGTAGTGGCATCCACCATTATAACTTGAGTAAGCATCCAGAAAAGTTAGCCGTTCATACCCAGTAGTGGCATCCACCATTTGATCAATCTTTAGTAAAGGGAAACTATCATTTGGACAAGCTTTGTTCAGGTTAGTGAAATAAAAACAAACTCTCCATTTCCCATTCTTTTTCTACACTTCAACCATGTTTGAGAGTCAAGATGGGTACTGAACTTCTCTGATGAACCCTGCCTCCAGTAATAAATCAATTTCATCAGCTATGATTTGATTGCGCTCTAGGGCGAACCTCCTCTGCTTCTGTCTTACAGGCTTGGCGTTTGGATCTACATTGAGAGAATGATAAAACACAGAGGGATCGATTCCTGGCATGTTTGAATGGCTCCAGGCAAACACATCCGCGCTTTTAGATAAGAAATCAACTAGCTGCAGTTTCTCCTCCTCTGCAAGCCTTAACCTTACTCTTGTGGTTCTATCTGGTCTCAGAGGATTAATCTGCATATCCATGAGGGATTCTTCAGTAAGGACCAAAGGCTCTTCCTCCTCCCCAACCTCCTTGGGTGCCTTGGGTGGAGGCCCCTGTAATTGCTATCTCAGGCTCCCAGATCGAACGAGCGTTTTTCCTTTCCTGCCGGCTTTCAGGGTTACGTAATAGCATTCCTTAGCTACTACCTGGTCCCCATGGATATCAATCACTTTGCTCCCATCTAGACTTAAGCATCTCATTACCTGGTGCAAAGTCGATGGGACACCTTGGACTTTGTGAATCCACCCTCTTCCCATTAAGAGATTATAAGAGGGGTGAATCTCAATGACCATAAAGCTTTCTATCAATTCTCTCTCGGCAGCAAGTATTGGCAACTCGACCATACCGATAGGCTCCACCCACTTCCCGTCGAATCCTAGCAGTGGATTTCCTGTGGGTTTGAGCTTTTCTGGTTTAATCTCGAGCCGGTCGAACGTTACTCTTGTCATGATGGTTGCGCTGCTCCCTAGATTAATCAAGACTCTTCGAACCAAACATTCTGCTACCATCAGGCTAATGACCAGGGGATCTTCATGAGGGATTTAAATTCGCAACAGATCTGTTCTGTCAAACCTTATCTGAACTGAACTGCTTTGCTGGTGCAGAGCATTTACACTGCCTATCATTTTCTTCATTTATGTTTAACGAAGACGCTTTTGGAGTAACTCTTCTGACTCTTCGGTCGGCTCAGGCATGCCATGAATTGCATTAATTTACGAACAGGCTGAGCGTTATGGTAGTTTGGCTTCTGATTTCTCTTCACTTACTCAGCCGATCGGTTTTACTCTATTGCTGGCCTTTGAATGTAACCAGCGAATTCTTCCTTTGCTATCAGCATCTCCACTTGTCTTCTTAAATTCTTGCATTCATTAGTCAGATGTCCAAAATACTATAAAAAACACAATGTTTAGATTGATCTCTTTGTTCGAGCGGTTGTCTGATAGGTAAGGGAGGGCGAAACTTATCTTTATTTTCTTGGAATAACCTCGATAGGCTGACTTTGAGTGGAGTGATCGATTCTTCCTCCCTAGGCCTCTTTTCTGCTTTCCAGGGAGTCGGACAGTGTGGTGCAACTTGCTTTTGACTGATCTTTGTTCTGGTCTTTTCTCCCACCACGACCATTGATGTTTTCCTCGCGTTAGCAGCTTCCTCTTCCTCCAAGCGCACAAAACTATCAGCTCTCTGGTTCAGCTCATCCATGGTCTTCGGCGCATTCACCTCTAGATTTGTATGGAACAGTGTCCCTCGGTTCATGGCCAGTTTGAACGCTTGAACCGCCGTGGATGGATGACACTCAATTACCATGCTCTTTTCTAGGTTAAATTTAGTGAGAAAAGTTTGAAGACGTTCGCCTTCTAGCTGTTTCATTATAAAAAGACTTGATATATCCTTTGCCGACTGCTTGTTTCTGTAATACCCGTAATTTTAAAAGGACAATTCTGGAATTTATTTATTATATTTAATTACATTTTTATTAAGTTAATTGCAGTTTTTCTTGTTTATTTGGATTTACTTGTTTTATTTGTTAATTTAGTATAATTGTTTTATTATTACGTAATTGTTTTATTGTTATTTATTTAATTATTGTTACTTATTTGTTAATTAACTCAATTGATGTCATGGTTTTTTTTTTTTTTTTTAAAAAAAAATGGCCTTAAGTGAGTTAGGTTAGAATACGTAAATTCTTTAGGATTTAGGTGGTTGAGGGTTTTGTTTTAGCCGACATAAATTTCATGGGCCGGCTAGGATTAGAATTAGGGCTTAGTCTCTAATTATACATGGATTAGGGTTATCATGATTCACCTATAAATATAAGCAATACGGTGATTTAGGGTTTTAGAAAACTAAGCCAAATTCTGTAAAAACAGAGAGACCGTGAGATACAGAGAGTAATTGAGAGATTAAAGAAGGGATTCAAGGAGGAGTTCGGGGACTGAATTAGGAGCAGCAGAGGTAGTTTAACACAACCGACGTTGCCGGAGTTGATAGAGATGATAGTTAGAGATTTTAATCCAAAGTCTCAAGGCAAGTCTCTGTTCTTCTCTTTCCCTTTAATTCGTGTTCTGTGCATGTCTAGTTAGACTCCAGGGATTAAAACAATGATAAAACGGACTTAAATAAACTTTATAACAAGTTTTATATGCATGTATGAATTTCGTTTACTCTCATGAATTAACTGCTTTGCAAAAATTGTTGATATTCTGCTATTTGTTCTTACTGTGGTTTACGGTTAAGCGTTATTTTAATTGAGATTAGTAGGATGTTTGAATGCCTTGTAATCATTCTAGGACTGAGTTTGAACTCTAAAACAAGTGCTTGGAACATTATTTAATTTCACTAAATTACTCTGAATTAAATCTGTTATAATTTGCTTAAAAATTTCTAACGGAGGTTCTGTAAACGTGGCTTTAAAACTTATATTCCTACACATGTTAGGATTGGATCTCAGTGGTTTAAACTTATCTAGGACTACGATTGAACCTAGAACAAGGATTTAAAAGTACTACAGAGGACTGATACTCACAAAAATCGGAGAAGACAAAGATGAAACGGACGTAGGCTGCTAAGGGGAGGGAGAGCAGGCTCCTAATTTCCTTAGAGCCGGCTCCTAGGAAGGTGGAGCCGGCTCTTGGTGTACTAGAGCAGGCTCTAAAAAGTCTAGAGCCGGCTCTAGATGGAAAAAAGCAGGCTCCAATTTTTCTAGAGCCTGCTCTCTTTTAAAACGCACAGTTTTGTTTATTTTAAAGGCTATTTGGGCTAAACTGGATTCTGCACTTTGTTTAAATGGTTTAAAGTGATGTGTAGGACTATATATGATTTGTATTATAATGGGAAAATATAAATTCATAATTGGATTGAAGAATAGAGCAAAAAGAACCTAAGAGAAAACTGGTAGCTTGCACACTGTCTTGTTGGTTTTAATTACTGAAATCTGGTAAGGTTTTTATATATGATCTAAATATGTATAATTGAATATTATTCCAGTATCATAAGTATTGTGAATTACTTATATTTAACTATACCTAGTTTGGGTTTAAATTGGATACTCAAATTGTTATAATTGTATCGATTTATCGACTGTTTTGAACATTAAACTATGTACTGGAGTTTGGAATTTCTGTATTACATAATTTATTGTTTAATTATATTTAAACAGAAGTATAAGAATAGTAAGTGGTTGAAATCATCTATTCTTGATTGGGAATAAATTGATATGTTTGTTTTATAAATTCTATCAATTTAAGGATTTTATGGAGGATTGGAATACTATGACTTGTATTAGCATTTTAAATGATTAAAATGTGATGTTTGAATTCTGTAATAATTCATATTGACTTGTTATATGTATTAAATGGTATTTATGCATATTATGGATAATGGTTGATGATTATTTAATATTGTTTGTCAACTATGTTAACTGGAGGGTTGTATGTACAGGTATGGGACAGTGACATACTAGGTATGGATTAGTTCAAGCACTAAATCCTACCTAATTTGGAATGAGTTGGATTAACCATAAAAAGGTTAAGTCATACTTATATGGATATATATGAACCGGTATGGAACGGTATCATATTAGGGATGGCTTAATTCAAAACACTAAGACCTACCTATATTGGGAATGGATTTGTTCAAAATACTAAGTCCTACCTAATTTGGATTAAGGTATGGATTAACCATAAAGGTTAAGTCCATCACCTACTTGTGTCGTGTCAATCAAATAAATTGAATGACCTATTATGGTTTCAGGATGGATTTGTTATACATATATCAGACCACTATACAGATGGATGATATTTTGTATTAGGAGTACGGACTTTATATATTTATTATATGTGCCATGGTATGAGCTTGAGTCACAGGACCATGGTTAGGGCGTGTATATCGCCTAGGATGGATAACTGGACATAGGTGTTGTTCCCTGGTAGGTCTAGGTACTCACACCCACCTTCGGGTGCGTATTCGCATATTACCTTTTATTCAGGCTGAGACAGACCTACTGGACTAGCGAGCGTCCTATAGTGTGTACTATATATACATATATGGACTACTCTAGATATTGTTGAGTCTTTCTAGGATGTATCTACGTATCAGATTACTGTTTGGATCGTAGTAGATCAGGACTTGCATGTGGGCCTGACCCACTCCTTTATTTTTCAGGTGCTCGGCAGTTCCATAATTAGAGGTTGATCGTGCAGAGCAGATATAGACTTCCATTCCACTGACTACGTAGGACCACTCTCTATTTTTAGCTTTATGTTTTATTTTCAGTTCGAGACTTTTTATTAGGGGTCCTCTAGAAAGATTCCCGAGTTGTATGGATTGGTGGTTTGGATTATCGGATTTAAAATATTTATAATTTAAGGTTTATTAATTTAGTTTCTTCCAACTATTTAATTTTATTTCTTATTTCACTTTGTATTCCGTGTTCGATTTAAAATACTTTAATTGTTTGATATCCCTCGGGTTTGGGCTCGGACCTGATCAACCCGCGTCTCGGATCTGAGGGGTATCACAATTTCCATAATATTGGCTTATGAATTTGTCGCACAGGTTCCGGAAGCTTTCCACCAATCCTCTTACCAAGTTCTTGAACCAATTACGCGCCGGTCCAGTAAAGCTCGTAGGGAAAACTTTGCACATCAAAGTATCATTTTCTGTATTTAGAGCCATCTTTACCTGAATATGATAAACATGTTCTATCGGATCACTTGTTCCATCAAACAAAGTAAAAATTGGCATGGAGAATTTTCTTGGATTTAGAACATTCAAGATTTCATCTGTGAACGGTGAATCGACAGTCCGAGCCGCCATGCAGAGGGCTTCATTTTCCTTCGAGAGTATCTTTTGTTCAACAGGTCTCTTGCCTGAACTCCTGTAGTCATAAGTGGCCATTGACGGACGGTAAATTGGATCGAACGATCTCTCATCAGTCAACTCCCTCCGCCACGACGGCATAGCCTTATTGTGGCCAAACTCTACAGCTTCCTTCGCTTAATCCTTTCTCAGTGTGGATCCAGATAGACAGATCTTTCTCGTTCTTCATATAATGGACATTCGGTGGAAAATCTTCCGGCCTGAACTCTTTGCGGCGCAGATCTAGGTGAACGTTTCCTTCTTGTTCGCTCTGGTGAACAACATTTGGCTGTAGAATTCTTTCTCTTGCCGGAGGCGGTCGTGGAACTACCGAGTGTCTCGTCGCTCCACTCTGGCTCTCAATTCTGCATTTTCTCTTCTTAGAGCCTTTCTTCAAGCTTTGCGTGTTTTCATTTTCCTGCGAATAAGAACTCTCACCTCCTATTATCGTTCCTGACCGGAGCAAAGTCATCAATCGAGAAATCTTGGTCAGATTTGAACTCTACTACTGTGAGTGTACTAGATCTGACCTTTGCCTAGCCGGATTCTGATCTCCGTCGGCTAAATCTGAATCTTTTCTGTCGTGAATTCATCGGATCTGGCCTTCGTGAATCAGGATCAAACCTCCGCAAAACAGATCACGATCTCCTAAGGTCGGAGTCCAATTTCCAGAAATCAAGCTTCAACTTCGTAGGTCAATCCTGATCCTCCGAAAGAATGATCAATCTGCTTACAGCGTACTTGAAGATCAACTGGATCTTTCCTCCGATTCCCACAGACGGCGCCATTGAAGATGCAATGGACATACTCTCTCAATTTGGAAAGATAAGTCTTTACACTTCAAAATATCTCAACCGCTTTTTCATCTCTTTTCATTCTATTTATAGACTTTTACAGTTGTTCTAAAAACTTCTTCTTTAGTCTTCCATGTTGGACCGATCCTTTGGGCTCCTCTTGGACACTGGCCCATTTCTTTTGCTTTGAGATTGGGCTTGGAGATTATCTCAATAGATATTAGGCTTGATGGGTGGTCATCCGATCGAGCTAAACGTTCTTTCCTGATTCAATCTATAGTGATATGGGTCGTATCCGACTCAGACCATTTTTGGTATCTTCACCTTCATAAAAGATTAAGTGTGTGTGCACGTTTTTATTCTTCTTCTTCTTCTTCTTCTTCTTTTTTCTTCTTTTTTATGGAATTTCAACTCATGTTAGAGATTAATGACTATACATGAATTTAATGAATTCACTTTGTTGTTTTCTGGTCTACATTTTGGACTTTAATGAACGAAAATTTAAGACAAGACAAGCCATGTCTTTCTTGGCTAATTTTCAGCTAAAATTGCGGACATAAATCACCCAGACAACGTAATGAGCATTTACATCACTTAGTTTAAAATTTAAAAAAGGACGCATTTATAAATAAATGCAATAAATAAAGTGGGGCATTTATTATTTTCGTGTCCAAAAAGACCGATAAAATTATGCGCGTTTGGTAACTTAACTTGGATGATTTAAATTATTAAGTTACATAAAATGGAATAAAAATTTAAGTGAGATTTTCACAAGTTTTAACAAAATTTCATAATATACAATTATTGTCAAAATTTCAGAACTTAAATATGATTTTTAAATTTCGATTATCAAATAATAAGTGTCTCAATATTTTGTTTTTATGGTTAGATTTGTACATAGTGTGCGCATCATAAAATGGTATAGAATTTTTTAAAGAACTTGTGGAATATACCAGAGACTTTTTTTTCCCGGAAATTAACATACCAGAGACTTATATAGTATTGTACAAAAAAAAAAATTCAGTCTTTAGGATTCCTATAAATAGGTATTCGGGAGATTAAAATCAATTAAAGTTAAAGCAGAGTTAATCATTTTTTTAAAGAGTTTATAGAAACATATAAGAGTATTATAGTATTGTAAACTTAATTTTATTGAAAAAATTTAATGTCAGTTGCTTATGATATAGCCAACAAACCATAGTTAGAGCATTTCAGGGGATGAGTGTTTGGATAATGGTTCCCTCGTTGGGGGAAGGTAGAGCCCTTAGTACGTAGTTGGGGATGGTAGAGCCTTGGTATCTAGTTCGAGTATCCCATTGCATGAGTGTTTGGATAATGGCTGGCACCTGTGCCTATTGAAGAAACTTTAGAAACCTAGTATACATACTCTACTCTTGTGTTCCCATTATATTCTACATTCAATCTCCTATATTCTTATGTTGTATTGAAGGAATGGTAGTGGGCTTGTGTGTACTTTTAATTTTGAAAACAAATTGACAAGGTGTGACTTTTAAAAAATAATAAAATAATTAAATATAGAATATAAAAAAGAGTACATTTGATTTTCAAAAAATGTGTAGAGTGACATCACTACAATTGATGACACACAAAATGTAGAATGAGAATGTAGATCATTGGGATGTTTTTAGCAACACGGGTAAACAGTATTTTTTTAAAAGAATTTTTAAAACTAAATAGTGTTAGAAGGTGTGATTTGCTTTCTTTCAATCTATACATCACCAAGAGTTACGGACAGCAATTAAATGAGTGATTGCTTTTTTTTTTTTTTAATGTCAAAATTAGTTAGTTTTTGTTTAGTGAGTCATTATTTAATATTTACTTAGTTATTATATCCTTTTAACTTATAAAAAAAAAAAAAATTAACTATGTCTAATGCTAGATATACTGTTCTATGTTCTATGTTGCAATAAATTTAATTTAATTAAAAATTTGTGCCAATGTATTCTTTTTCTAAAGCAATTATTGAAGTTTTATTTTTATGGAGTATTTTTATAGCTCAAAAAAGAAAGTTTCAAATAACAAACAAGAAACTTTGATGAAAATTTAAAAATAAAAATCTATAATAGATCATAATCGAAATTTGATGCACCATAATTGTATATGAATTATAAAGATTAGAATTTATTTAAATTATATAAAAATATATAGAATAAACTATACATTCACAATTTAATCTTGGAATAATTTACAATAAAAAAGCATTGCAAACAAGGGAAATTTTGCTTCGAGGATTCAAACACACCCAAAATGACATGTGTCCCAGGTCATTCTTGCACCGAAAAGGCCCCCTGTCTCTCGTTGGCTTTTACAAGTCCGTCGTATATATTAGACTGTTTTATATGAGTAGAATAATATCATCACAACGTTATTCCTTAGTTACGTAAATTTAGTCGAATGTATCTGAATATCGAATCACCTTATGTTACTTTTTAATCTAATTAATGCAGTTTCTTTCTTATTGTTAGACAATCTTTACAAAAAAATAAATAAATAAATAAAATGGTTAGAGAAAGTATTTAATAATTAATTTATTTATTGTTTCCTTTTGCTTTAAACATTACAAAATATTTATCAAAGAATGCACCTCTTATAATCACCCTAACGTGAAAACAGCATTCACCTTATATAAAAAATTAAAAATAAAAACAATAAAGTATCATGTAAACAATAAGTATTCAAAAAGTCGAAAAGATATCTACACAAGTCTCGACTATATTTTACCAAATTTATCAATTGGAAGAACTAATTAATTCTAGCTCAACTAATTGTGGTAAATTGGTAATTTTTCAAAAAGTCCAAAAAGATATCTGTATAATAAAAAGTTGTAGTCTAATGTTATATCTTCTCTCTTTCAAAATGAAAGATTTCGAATGTAGGTGTGTGAATTTTTTACAAAATAAAAAAATAAAAAGAGATATAACAGCATGAGGTCACACAGAAAGACCCTAGGAAATTTCAACCAGATAAAATATCAGTAGTTCTCGTAATACGAGCCAAACAAACACTAATTTAGTAGAGTGAAATCAATGCAACCTACAATTTACGTTGACTCCATTTGTTTAAATGGAAATAAGTAAGAAAATAAAATAATAATAATAATAATAATAATAATAAAAGTGAAATAAATAAAAAAGAAAAGTTATTTTTTATCATGCATTTGGTTAGTAAAAAAATTAATTTGTTATTTTGAATAGCATGAGAGTGAAAAGAAAGTGATTGAACATAAATGAATTTGTATTTGATAATGTCTATTTTTATTAAAGAAATAGTAAAATGGTGGATTATTAAATTTAATAATATAATTATTTATGTTTTATTTATATTTAAAGCAAGACTTCATAACATTTTCTTAGGTGGAAGTAGAATTAATTATTAGTTAAAAAAAAAAAAAGCCGAGAGGAAGAAACTGATGGTAATATTTTTTTTTTTAGAGAGATTTGAATTATATATGAACTTGTGGAAAAATAAAGAAAGAGTTATTTTGCAGATAAGTTGCCTCTATGAAACCTAGTAAATAAATAAATAAATAAATAAGTTATTTTGCATGAATAAGTTAATAAGTAAAAAAAGAATGTCAAATTAAAAGATACGTTCGTTTGTTTTTTTGCAGGAAAAGTTTTGGAAGAAAATAGGTAAGTATGGAAAACTAAATTTTCTATTACGTTTTTTAAAACTTCTAGAAAATTAGGATTTTTGTAATCCTTTATTTTTTTCAAAATATTTTCTTCACACAACACGAGAAAATTTTATTTTTCAGTGAAAGGGTGTCTTTTTATTTAGTGTTTCTATTTTCTCCAACACAACTTTATTTTATATTACGTATTTAAAAATAATAATAATTTCTTACTAAATTTTAAAGAATTGAAATCCACTAATAACAATGGTAATATTACAAAATAGGGAGTAGAGTGAGACATAAAGAGACTACTCGAGTCTCGAGGGACTTGTAATCTCCTTATTTATTTGCACACAAAAAAAACTCTTCACCGGCCTTCACTGTAGATGTAGGTAGCGGAACCTCATTGTCAATTTTTACGCAATTGTTTTCCACTAGACAATATGCCTCAAAGGATTTTACACATTTGAAAAATCATATCGAATGTTTATAACAATATTTAGTAATTTTTATTTATTTATTTATTTATTTTGTTTATTTTGGTGTAGGATGCTTCTAGATAAGTAGAATCAGTCGTTTGATGCTACCAAATTACAACTCGTTATTATTTTGCTTATTACTTTCCTAATTACGAGAACTATCTACTTGTACAGGGGTGTGCTACAATAATG